AGTGTATTTTGAAATGGAACAATTTTCGATTACGCTCTATGCAATTAGCATAAAATTAAGTGAATATGAAGTTAAAAGAAAATTAATTTAACATTTCCCAATTAATAATTGCACATCTGTTTAATTTACTTTACCGGAATTCTTTAACTTGTATTTAAATCTGGCGATGTTTAAATGCTAACAATCGAAAAACTATCGCAATTTTAAAGTTTTTATTGAAAAAATACAATAGTACATGCATGATTTTTTATCTTCTTTTTAAAATTTCATTCCTACATAATAAATTCAACTAACAATCTCTTAGAATAATTATTTGTGAAAAGAATGCCAATTATCATTTATTTCATTCATTATAAATCTAAGCTATTAAAATAATTGTTTATTCCGTCTGGAAATTTTTCTTTTCTTTTTTTTTCTTTTGATCTGTTTTTTGTATGAGGTGTTCTTATTGTCTTTAACGGTTTGAACATATGAAAATTAAATATAATCATTTTTATATTATATTATAATTTAGTGTAATACTCTACAGGGTAGCCGTCATTAATCCAAAATAGTAATTGTAGTAATTAATGGCATAGCTTAGTAATGTATTGCTGACAATGACGATTTTAGAACAGTTCGTCTCCTTGAAACAAGCTGTACTAGTATACTTTTCCTGAGGTATAAGCGCCGTTGAAGACGAGCTCCAGATGTTCTTTCTAAAGGACAAAGCAGACTAATAGCGTATCATTCGTTTGTTAGTTGGGTCAGGGGAGGCCAACCACTTGCCCAGAAAAACAGAATCACCATACAAGCATAGTTGTCAACACTATCGGAAAAGAGTTCCTATCGTCGGATGGGGTACACGAATGCTTCCAAGAATGAATAAGTGACATGTCTGACTCTGAACAGTCAGTAAACGAACTGAACAATGATCTGCAGACATCGACCTCTTATTCTTGATATCATAAACTGCATGCATGTACGTTTATGAGAGCGATTATTTATCTTGTACCTGACGAAAACTTAATGCCTGAATGGTTATGTATTTTGCTATACGTTTTTATTATTGGTTTGGTGTGTGTTCACTCAAAATCGTAATTCAAAGATAATGTTTGTGAGATGTAATTTCACTTCTCAATACCGAATTTCGTCTATATATTTCACAAGTGTATACCACTGAGAAGCTCTGATTGTATATAATTCCTTTTTTTTTGTGTGGACCATCGTTGTTAACAACAATATTTGATGAAGCAGATGATGATAGTAGACAGCAATATGAGCGTATTATTTATCTTGTGTCTGACGAAAACTAAATGCCTGCATGGTTATATCTTGCCATTTTGTATTGGTTTGGTGGGTGTTCACTCAAAATCGTAATTCAAAAATAATTATTTGTGTTTGTGAGATGTAGATTCACTTCAATAACGAATTTCGTCTATATATTTGTGACAAGTGTATACCACGGAGAAGCTCTAAATGTATATTACTTCCATTTGGTTTGGGTGTGAGCCATCGATGTTTACAGCAATATTTAATGAATAAGATGATGATAGTAGAAAGAAATATGAGCGTCATGTGGCAAATATTACATAAATGTCGGACTATGAGTTATCTATCTGTATGAAAAGATTTCCAATACAACCATATTGAGTAGAATTTTTACATGCTATACTCGAGTCGTACTAGTATACAGGCAACTCATGTCGCCGTTTGACTCAGACACACATCTTTTACTTTAAGATGTATGAAAGATTCTATATATATATATTAAATGTAACAATAATGAAACGCCTACAGGCAATAACTAAACGGGTATGAAGTTTTATACAGATTTATTCTTATTTACATAATCATTAACAAACTAAATAAATTGAACAAAGAAACACAGTGACACTACGATATAACAAATGGGATACTTAATTATTTTTAACCATGCTATGCAGAAACTTAACACATCAAGTTAGCGCACGTGAATACCAATTTCGAACACGATGTGTGATTTTGTATAAAAAAATATCAAAGCGAGCAGTAACTTTGTCTAGCAAACATTTTTTTACTATGCCTCTCTTTATCTCTTTTCCTTTACAATAACTATTACCCTTTTCGTCGATCATTCTCTATGTAGTATAATTTTCTCTAATCGGTTAATTTTTTTTTCACTATGCCACTCTATCTCCGTTCCTTTACAGTGACTGTTTCCCCTGTCGTTCTAATCCGTATAAAGATAGGGACATTAGACATAGAAGGAGCTCTCTTATCGTCAATAAATAAATATTTGATACTGACTATAAGTGCTGCATTACTTTATACTGCATGTTTGCCAATCTTCAAAAGCTTGCATTTGCGTGAAGTTTTTTTTTCTCAAAAGAAGGGTCCAGAATCATGACAAAACAGTATAATTATGTATTTCACAATTTTTTTTAAAGATCATGTTTATAAAATTTTTAAACTTATTATCAGCAAAAATAGTGGATAATATTATTATCAGAACATCATTCATTAACAGGTGGAATTATAATTTCAAACACGCACAAGATAAATAACGTCGAACACAAATATATGTGGTTCAATAAATGTTACCTGTGCACGTCGGGTACCTCAATCAAGAAGCCATGCATGAACCTGTATAATATATTGTGTAATAGGAATTTTTAGTCGACAGGATGTCACTGGAATAACCAAGGACGTGTATCTAATATACGTCCTTGGGATAACTAACTGAATGTGTCGCTCTGACACGACATCTATCAATAATTCTGACATACCTATTATCAATTCGGGAGGAAGCCAATATATATATATAAGATAACGTTAATAAAATTTAAAAAGAAAAAAAAAAAAAACCTTTTTTTCCAAACATACCAGATAGGGTCACACATTTAACTGTAAAGTGTCTTTATAAGTGACTGTTCCGAATTGATCCCGTATCAATTTGATATAGTTAAAAGATTAGTTAAAAAACTTTTTTAATAAAAAATTGAGATGTCCAATCATGATTTCGATATTTACATTTCTATAACCTGGGAATATTATACTATATCAACATATTTTGTCTTAGCTAAAACCTCTTAATAACATTGCTTCCCGTCAATATCCGTTAAATATCATAATTTAAAAATGTTACATTTATCGTATAACTTTATTAATTTAAAAAATTATCTTGACTAAATACGGAACTATTCTTTATATAAACCAATGCACTTTATATAAAAGAGGCATACTAATGAATCTTTTGTAAATCAGTGATTGTTACAAGAACACTGCATTTGTCTTTCTTTTAATTGAAACTTTTCTTCCTCATCAAATCTATATTTTATTGAATCAACGAGATCATATAAGGATTTGATAACTAAAGCTATCAGAACTGCTAGGTTATTTTGTTATTAAAAAAAGTATAATTACCATCAAATCTCCCTCGAAACAAGATTGTTCAAAATGGTCTTCACACATCAACTTGTGCTTGCTATAGATCATAACTATTTTCTTTTTTTGTGGGTTTGGGAAAACTATTTAGACTTTTGTCATAACTTTGTCGGACAGAACAACCGTACGCTTGATAAGACATTTTCACAATGGGTGATCATCTATGGTAATCCCCGATTGATGATGGGAGTTTTTAACGCATGGTCGGTAAATCCCTGATTCATTTTGGTCTTTGTGGTTTATAGATATCACGTGACTTTTTAGATCGAACATGCCGACAAGATGGCGATATGTCGAGAACTGATAGTGAATTTCAAAAATCGATTTTGATCTCTTTTCATAGAGAATAAAAGTTTTTTATTTATGAACATGTGGTTTTTTATGCTTAAAGAACAAAATATCAATTTTTCATTTTTTTGCGGAGTTTCCCTTTAACCTCATTTTCTTGGATCATGTTAAGTTTTTGTGATACTTGTAGTAAAACTTTATATTTAGGACTATCAACATAAAATCAATGGTCAATAAAGGCCAGACATTTCAGCGTGTGCACTCTTGATATATTATCTTTAAAAATACATTGTAGAAATACACCAGAACTAATGATTCATTTGCAATTAAGCAATGAGATAAGTCACCAGTTGTGCAGAAATTGTCATGTTTGATTCACAATACTTGCCATATCGAGCACTTGGGACATAATCAAAATGAAAAGTAATATCTGATTTACATTATATTCATTTAGCAAAATAATGATCAGATTACATTTACCTGCCTTAGTTTGTTATGAAGATACATAAGAGGGAAATAAACTGTTATCAGTAAGTCTATTTAGTGCACAATACTTTGAACCAAATTAAGGCTCAGGAAACATAGTGTAAGGTTCAATATTGAAGTCAGATATGTAGTTAGTTCTAATAATCATAATGTTACAAGAACTTTTTTGTCAACTTGCCACTGGATGTTAAGCAAACAAAAATCAAGCAATCAATCTTTTTTGGCGACTCACTAGTGGTTCCCTTTTAACTGATCTAATCACAAATTTTAACATGTATACTAAGCAAAAGTTTCTAAGTCAATAGGACATGACTGAGGGGGCCAAATAATCTCCATGGAAATGAGATGTACAAATGTTAATACAACTGCATACCAATATCATAGACTATCACCAGTGGTTCCCCTTAAACTGACCTAATCACAAACATACATTGTTGATGACTCAGACACCATCCAAAACAGTATTTCTAAAGTCTTGCTTTTTTCGACCTCGTCGAAGTGAGACAAAAAGCAATAGATAAATAAAAGTCTAAACAATATACAAACTATATGTCATGTTCTAAATTGCATGAATCTACACAAATTTCTTATTATACCAAATTTTCCAGCCCATGTAGGGTGAATGCCACGCTCTCTGTACACCAAAGAACCATTGCAACAACCCTCTTAGGGATAAGAAGGTGGTCTGTTGCAAGGCAAAAACTCTGCCTCTATTCAGAAATGGTCAAAATCTCCCAAACTTATTAAGATTTTGATAGTTATCTTAATTGTATTCACAAGTTCAAACTTGCATATATTCCACAGTGTAATTACTAAAACTATTGTATTCTCAAATTTTATTCATTAATGAATCTTGATTTTAACAATCATCAATTTATCTTAAAACATGAATAAAATAAAAGCTTCCTCAATTTGTTGACTCATTAATGACAACCAAATTTAAAGAACATACCATTTCACTATCTTCAGACACAGTTAAATCTCTCTAACCTCACATTTAACCCTCAATTATAATTTGTTCTTACTGCCTTTTTTTCATTTAACATCCACATTTGAAATCTCACACCAACCATTCATAAAAAAGTATAACAAAACAGACATTTATTACTTAAATATTTTCCATGAAATCTATGGAAATTGTTGCTTCAAATATGTCAGCTTAGTTCTATACATTACATGAAACATTTCAATACCATTTTAAATTGTCTGCAAACTAACCAGCATCAATACATAGCATATACATAATCCGTTACAAATAAAGATACATTCTATGGACATTTGTGACAAATGTTAGTTTTTACAATCCATTAAATAAATTGCCAGTAAAAACATTTACATATTCAAATAAAAGTATGTATTAAAAAACTTTAAATTACAAAAGATGTATACTTTATATATTGTAGCAGTATGTTGTTTTCATATACACAAACAGCCACATGACCATATCACATGACTATGGTTCTCACTTGTCAATCAAGGTTCCTTTTGTCTTTTTCTTTGCCTCTTCAGCCTAATAATAATACAAGTGTTCCAAAATGTATATTCAAAACAGGAAACAATAACAAAAGCAGACAAAAAAGCAATGCATTTCAAGCTGACTGCTAAGTTTATATATGTACTGACACAAAACAGTCGCTGTACTGGTTCAAGTGAGTATATAGATCTACAGGACAGTAGTTTAATAAGTGTATCTGTATTTTCTTCTTTTTGTGTGTGTGTGTGTAGGGGATATTGCCTTGCAATTGATTATTTCTGATATACAAAATGAGAGATAGTTAAGTTAAAATAAATTGTTTGATAATTGTTTCAACACAAGATATGAAGTCTTGTTTAACTCACCTAGTAAGCTTATACAAAATGCAGTCATGCATAACACTGTATCTTAAACTACTTATATATATATAATTAGTGCACACATGGAGATTTGTTAATTCTATATTTGAAAAATATTGACATCAATTTCCATTATCAATACATTGTGTACAAATAATTTGGATTTTTTTAGATCTCCCACCTGTGATTAACAAATGTTTTATTCATCATGCATAAACTTGTGTTGATTCACACTAAAAAAAAACAAATTGTTTCTTTTAACCCCATGGCAGGTTAAACCTTCAGTTACCAAACCTAATTTAAAAGTGAACTGGTACATACATGACATTAATATAATTACCTCTTCCATCAGCTTTCGTTTATTCATTCCTTTTCTTATTAACTGCTTTTCTATTACTCTGGCATTAGCAGCATATGAGTCAGCTATTTCTTTCTATAAAAATAAATCAATTAGGGTACAACGAAGACTAATGAATTAATATAAGAAATAACAAGAGTCTCTGTTGCTTACATGTACCGGATATCAATGCATTATATTGACTTGTCATACTTGGAAAAGGCATAGTACTTTGGAAATAGAAAGGGCCAAAACAAATGGTCAAAATCCCTTTAGAACTCCATTCTGAAAAGCTTGAGCAATAGTTTTCAACATCCATCCTAACCTGGTTTGTCTGGATGTAGTCACCTAACAAAACATTTAGCATGGTATTATACCAGCCATGTCATTTGCAAGCATTTGATCCTGAAATTGAAATCCTGTGCAGGAAAAAAAAGTCAGGGATAACTTTTCTGTATAGATTAATTTCACAGACAAATACAAACCAAATTTGGGTACAAAATAGTCATGTACCAAGAGAAAAGTTATGATGTGAGCTAATCTGATTGTCATGGAAATACTTACGGCTTCTATTTCATCTTCCTCGTCTTCCACTGTTGATACTGTTACTGAACTGAATTTACCCATGTTCTTTGTGTGTTTAGTCAATGTTACCTTGATAAATAAAAATACCAGAATTATAAGTAATACAAAATATCATTATTCTTATCTAAATTAGTTTTATATCAAATCAAATAATATTTTCCAATAGAACTGAGCATGGCTAGTCTAAATATCATTACCCCTCATGTCAGTACTATGTCAGGGATTTCCAACAATTTCTTTTGGGTCAATTATTTAGTTTTCTTTTTTCCTTCACTCGTTTAAGAGAATGTTTATCTTTTCAGTAATGTGTTAAAGTTAGATTCTGGACCTAAGTCAGGAGCCTGTTGTTCAGTGGTTGTCGTTTTTGGTGTGGTTCATAAGTGTTTCCGTTTTTTATATAGATTAGACCGTTGGTTTTCCTGTTTGAATTGTATTACACTAGTCTTTTTGGGGCCCTTTATAGCTTGCTGTTCGGTGTAAGCCAAGGCTCCATGTTGAAGGCCGTACTTTGACCTATAATTATTTACATTTTACACATTGTGACTTGGATGGATAGTTGTCTCATAGGCACTCATACCACATCTTCTTATTTATATCTAAACTGTTTTCCAATGAAACTCACTTTTTTAGGTTTTGAAATCTGACTATAAACATCTGTTTTTGCTGCATCTCTCTTCAATGCATTGTCAACGATAAACATCACATTACTGTTACCTTGGTGATGATAACACAACCATAGTCCACAACTAGAAAAAGAATAACAGGATAGATAAATCAATTCAATGTCTAAAAGTAAAAAGCATGGCTACAAAATCAAATGCAACTCTAAATGGTCTCCTTACCAAATCTATCTGAACACTAAACATATGTTGAATCCCTAACCTACCAGTCTCAGATAAATATGTGTAACAACTCTATTTGGAGCAGAAATTATATTTCATACTAAGTATTAAAAGCAATCACTTATTATCAAATCATAACTATTCCAATCTGAAGTAAAATAGTGAATTTGGCTACCTTTGCTTAAGCTCTTATCTACTTATCATACCAGTACATATCTCAAATTGTTTAAGAAATTACTATGATTTTTATCTAATAAAAATTTCTGAGGATTTTAGCAAGTGAATGAATCATCAGAATTTGGTCAGACAGACCTAATTTCAGTTACTTTTAAATCATTTTTCTCACATGTATACACGGATAGATGATAATACAGTTGAAGACCAAAGCTGTTGTCATGCATTCCTAATTGTCTCCCTATATTCATGTATCTCATACAAATGATAGTTTTTTTTAGTTTAGTTCAATCCTTTGTGATTTTTTTTTCTGAAATTTTCACCATTTGAAAGCACAACTATTCCAAGTGCTTAATCATAGCTAATGATTGCATCTGCACAGTTTTAGATATCTTAGTTTTCTAGCATATCTTAATCAAACAAAAACTTTAATGTTGATCTCTCAAAATCCCTATATATAAATTAAAGCTATAGTAAATAATGACATTAATGATGAAAGTTGTATTCCAGTCATTGTTTTTAAAGTAATTAGTTATAAAAGTTATGTAGTAGAAATCCCCAAATTTGCAAATAGTTCTTCTTGTGTAAATGTGTAAATGTTGATAATAAAAATAAAAGAATAAGAAATCAATTCAATCTTCATAAAAAAAAAAGATTTTTAATATATGAAAATGAAAGAGAAATCATTGGGTATTTTACATTTTTTGCCACAAATTGTACATCCATCTAAGTCTTGGGGCGCATGATAAATAGCTTAACGTTATCTGATTTTGGCTGAATGCTTATCTATATACTAAGATGAACACCTAACCAAGTTTTGATGTACCTTATACCCTCAAATCCAGTCTGGTTAACATAACGTTAAATGAATGAACAAACTTGAAGAACAAACTTTCTACTTCATTGTATACCCTTCATAAAGTCTGTTGAATATTTGCCTGCTGAATATAGAGCATGTAACTAAAAAACAGTTGTAAAAAAAGACTGGTTCAATGAATGAACAATGTCATAAGGACCAATTTCATTCCAAGTATTTGCCTGACTTAAAGAAAATGAAACATTCAATAAGAATTAACTGTAATCAAACACTTATACAGAATGTAATCAAACACTTCTACAAAATGTTGTCAAACACTCCTACAGACTGTAATCAAACACTTTTACAAAATGTAATCAAACACTCCTACAGAATGTAATCAAACACTTTTACAAAATGTAATCAAACACTCCTACAGAATGTATTCAAACGCTAATTGTACTAACTCTTACTTTTTACATTTCTGTCTATATTGTTTCTCTATGCCTTCAGGTCTGAAACAAAATAAGGTATTGATTCAATTGGAGTACATATCTTAAAATTACCAAGATGCAGACCAAATATAAAATTATTCCCTTTCATAGAGCCAAGAAACCTTTACCTTAAGTGCTTTGTACTGATAATTTACCATCAGTATCTTTGTAGGTCATGTGACCAGATTTATTTTAGAACTTTACTTTATTTAGTTTACAGAAAAATAAAGATACTGCAAATAAGAATTTTCAATTATATATAAAATGTATTGTTTCAAAAGTATATTTAGTAACATGTGCCATTCAAATCAAATCATTATCCTGAATTTGCATGCAATATTTGCCGCAATAACCATCGCTGAAAACAATCAGCCAACCAACACCTTAATGCCAAGTGCTTAGCAGAGTAGCAACATATACAGATGTTCAAGTCTTTGGTTTAACAAGGTCAGAGATAGAACCATGACCTTCTTTTCTATCATGAGACCATGGTTCATGGTTCAGTAATGAAGGATGATGGCAATCAAACAAATTAAAACTAACAATATAACTTTATCTTTAATAGTTAAAGGTTTATATAGATATGTTCAATTAAACATCAAATCATGGCACAAAGACAAGGACCATCACACTACAGCCAGACCATGCAAGGGATAGAAATGATGTTTTGCAAATTTTGTTACACTGCTTTAATAAGCCAAAATAAGCACCCCTAGAAAATAATGTGCTACACAGTAAAATGTTTGTATCTTACCTTTTCAGAAACACAATATCATCTGGTTCACATGTCAGTCTATGTGCATGTTTCTGACTGTCTATTACTCTTGCATTATCTCTTCTTCTCATTGGTAACTTATCCATTGCACAATCTACAAAACAAAAACAAAAATGCATGTGTTGTCGTGCTAATTCAGAAATATAAATCAACATGCAGACATCTTATACGTTCAGGTATTTCACATCCAATCTTTTATGGTAATATTCTATACAAAGCACAAAAATGTCGATATTCACCTCAAAAGCTAACCAAACCTTTAAACAGACTTATTCAGAAGTCTTATAAATATTATAATAGATAATCGATTACACTACAGATAAGATTGTATATTTAATTAGATAATTGGATTAGCTAAGTCAAAGTGATAGAATTAGTGTCATAGTGATCGACAAAGGCATGTGTCAGACATGGGGTCAATTACTTTTGAAAGTAATTAATTACATTCAATTACAATTACAAAATCTTCAATTAAATTACACATTACATTTGAATTTTTTTGACAATGTAATTAATTACTTTCCAATTACTTGGCAAATGTAATTGATTACTTCAATTACTTTTGAAAGGAAAATTTAGAACATGCATTTATTCTAGCATATGTACATAATTATTATACATTGCTTTATAGTAATAACAAATGAGATCTACAGTGACTATTTTCAAATTCAGCCAGTATCAAAGAAGAGTAAAAGTTAAATATCTGGTGTGTTACGGGAATAAAGAAAAAACAAATATAAATCTGAAGTGCACATAATACTTTGTCTATCAGGAATCGTTAGGACTAGATGTTTGGTTTAATTTAATGCGCAAAATGATTAAAAGCCTTATTAAATATTTGGAAAATATTAAATTTTGTTTAATTACCTATTGAAATTTTATGTTTTAATGTATTTCATTGAAAATGATACAAGAAGAGAGCCCTATAGATAAAATTTTATTTTTTTAATTTGATCACAACTTATCAAAATTATTTTTCCTAAAGAAATGATTTAGAAAGTCTGACTTTTTAAAAAATATAATGTAGTTTTAATCACAATTAATTAATCTAAATAAAAATCCTGTACCTAGGGGTATATTTATCTCTCTCTAATTGGCTTAACACCTGTTTAACATGCAAACATAACTGTTGTAAAAACAGTCATTATATAGTTCATGATAAAACAAATAGCCAGAGGTTATATTTATTGATTGACTTATGACCTTTCAAATTGATTATGTTAAATCAACGTCTAACAATATCCATCTGAATATACATGTAGGTAACAAGCTAATTAAGGTATAAGACAGTGACTTACTAATGGTTTCTTTTAAACACAAATTATGGCATGTTTCTACAATATTTTTTTTTTCTTTTTAATATTTTGTTCATTTATTACAAAATAAAGAATCTTCCACGGTTGTGTAATTACAGAAAGATCTTAAAATATGTCGCGTAGATTTTCTTTTTCAATTGCTTCTGGTAAGTAATATATTAATTTGAAATTACGACAGATACATACAGATTATAACGTTTACGATATTTCAGAGTTTAACGTTGCCAAGCGCACAAATCCAAGCAGAATAGTCCATGACGTCATTGTTGTCCAATGAAAAATTAGTATGAAAAAGTACAGGAAATATGTTTATAAAACTATTGACCAGGGTAATAGTCTTTGAAACTGTTGACTGCCAAATAGTCTGTGGAATGAAATAGCACAAATATTTCATTCTTTTTTATATAGAAAAAACATACTGAGGTATAATAAATATATATATATTACTATATACAACAAAATCTCTTAATATAATATGAAAGTATGGCCGACACGACTTTTATTACATGGCCGTATCGACCAAGGCCGAACTGGCCCCATGGCCGAAATGTCTTGGTTCCTACAGATCTATGAGGATCTTCCCCAACCTTTTATAGATACATCTATCATACGTAGTGTACCTAAAATTAGAGACATTTGACCACAGATACAGTAGTATACATATAGAGGCTTTTCTCCTTGATATTCCTCCTGATCTTTGGTGTCAGTACACACTACACTTCTAGAAACAACTTTCGGCATTTTGTTGTTCAATATTACAACATGTTAAACAAAAAATAACGTGCAGAATAAATCCATCTGTATAGTCGTGCCGCTTAAAGCATTAATCAAATGTCAAATTTCAATCTCCCATGCAGAGTTGTGGTCCTTGCTCTCTCTCAGATACAGGTTAATAAAATCATTTTATGTTTTCCATATCTGATTCTCTAATAAGTGCGTTGAGATTTTTTTAGTCATTTTTATAAATTCATTCAATTATTAGATTGTATAAAAAAAAGTTATTCCTGTATTTTGCTATGATGTAAGCGTTAAAGTTTTAGCCAGATTGTTCTTACATAAAATCGATACAGGTATAACTAATAATTTTATGAAACTGCAACGCACCACAACCAACTAGTTCGAAAAAGATGGTATAAAACCTCCTTTTATCTCATTAAAAGTAACTAAAGATTATTTACATCCTACAATCATAATTGGTCAGTCGTGGGCTTTCCATGCTAATCCTCAATCAATCTTCATACAACTCTAAGTCACATAATTGTCAACATCATAACTGGAGAGATTTTTAGAGACTGAAACTCCAAATTTACATGGGATCAAGCAATATACTCCAATACTACTAGCAGATAACAAGGGATACCAATTATATAACCAAAGAAATCATAACACCGTTGAAAAAGAAATCCAGTGGTGGGGTGATTCTGGATATACCACAACAGATGGTCTTCAATATATCAAACGAAATATCAATAGAGCAATAAGACACTTTGGTAACATTTGGATCTGCATGTGGCTTGGTACCTGCGATTTAACCGTCAAAGAGAGAGATTACAAAAATAAATATACGGTCAACATCAGATTCTTCCATTATCCACCTCCGTGCGAAATTTCAAGAAATTGGTCACTTCCTATCAGGCTTCCCAGAAGTTAGGTATACTGTATTGCTGATCAATTTTTCTCTTTACAGTTTCTCTCTATTTTTCTTTAATTTTAACCAATCAAAAACACAAAAAAAAACAATTAAAAAATTATCATTTCTTTAAGGCAATCACTCCTATAGAAAGAGTAAACCAACGATTTTGACTTGCACTTATATGCAGATCTTGTCTTGCTGATCATGTCTATCTTTCTTTTATAGTTTCTACTTCTACTTCTACCAATACGCGGCCACCATCAATAAGTTGATTATTTTGTCACTTTTTGGATGCGCATTTAAAATTTAGACAAAGAATAAATATTGAATAGTTTTCAAGATAGTAGGCAAAAACATAAAATATTGGTAAAAATTGTCATTAAAGAGCAAGAATTCCTACAAGGAGTCGATCGACAATTTCGGCTATATTGACTTATTTGTAGATCAAGTCTTGCTGATCATTCTTGCTTATTTAAGTTTCTATCTATCTATTATATTTTTTTTCAGATATTAGACAAAAACGTAAAAAAATCGGGTAAAATCATCATCAAAGGGAATTAACTCAAATAAGGGGACGTCCAACGATTTCAATAGTATTTAACTTATTTGTAGATCTTGTCTTGCTGATATTTTTTGCTTATTCAAGTCTATCTATATGTTGTAGTTTTTCAGAGTTAATCAAAAACGCTTAAAATCGATAAAAATCGTTATTAGAAAGGGCAATAACTTGAATAAGAAGTCGTCTGAAGATTTCCACCATTGAAGACTTATTTGTAGATCTTGTCTGACTTGCTGATCATTTTTCGTATATAAAGTTTCTATCTATCTATTATAGTTTTTTTCAGATATTAGACAAAAACGCAAAAAAAAATGTTAAAAATTATTACCAAAGGGCAATAACTCTAATACGGGGTATTTATAAGAGCAGAAGTCCATTACTAGACTAGTAATGGACTTCTGATAAGAGTCATTTGTAGATCTTGTCTTGCTGATCCTTTTTGCTTATTTAAGTTTCTGTCTATCTATTATAGTTTTTTTCAGACATAAGCAAAAACGCTAAAAATTGATAAAAACCGCCATTAAAGGACAATAACTCGAATAAGAAGTCTGGCGATTTCCACAATCGTAGACTTATCGGTAGATCTTGTCTTGTTGATCATTTTTGGTTATAAAGTTTCTAGCTATCTATTATAGTTTTTCAGATATAAGCTAAAACGCTAAAAATTGTTAAAAATCGTCATTAAAGGGCAATAACTCGAATAAGGATTCGCGTCTGACGATTTCCACCATGTTGAGTTATTTGTAGTTCTTGTCTTGCTGATCAATTTTGTTATATTTAGTTTCTCTTTATCTATAATAATTTTTCAGATATAAGCTAAAAATGAAAAAAATCGGTAAAATTCGTCTTTTAAGTTCATAAAAGTTCTTTATACAATGACCAAGAAATTTATCACGACATTATCTGAGATGGCTAATGAAGAAAAAGCTTATAATTAGAAATAGAGTAAGCATGGACTTTTCTCTTTTTTTCTTCGTTTCCAATTTAGTATTTGTATTAAATGCTAAGATATTATCTTATTTTTTGGGTTTACATCCTGTACGTTGTTGTGTACTTTTCTTTACTTTTCCTCTGTTATTTGGTTATGACTATACCTTAAATGGTTCTGTAAAGAAACAATGTCATGATACGATAGGTCAAACAAAGCAAGGCTAGTTTATCAACAAAAATGCAAAGAGAAGATCACAATATTCATTATCCTTTCTGTCAGGACTCTAGCAAATATGAAAAGTTGTGCAAAATTGGACAGGGAACTTTCGGGTATAAATATGTAACCTAAAATTTTTCTATGAATCCCACAAAATTTATGCATGCTACAACTTAGTACAAGTATTAACTGATTAAGGATTGTCTGGACCCATTGGCTAAATTTTTCGTGTTTACATCTCAAATAAACCCTGAGTCCAGACAAACCAGTGCATCTGGAAAAGTTTTAAGGTATGACAACCCTCAGATAAATAAAATTCAAATGCATTTGCCATTTAGGCCAAAATAAATTAATAGTGTGTTTCCTATTTCACCTCCAAAAAAATTAGGTAGGGTAGGTAGGTAAAACATTTTATTTTATGAAAACATTTTATTTTTTTTTTCTATTGAAGGGTCGACAGCAGAAAAAAGTTCCAAATCAAATAGTTTGATGTGCGGGCTTCTTTGATATTTAGAATAGTAATTATATCTACAGCTTTTTTAATTTTCTGTTTTTGTTCTGCTTCAGAAATATGAAAATAAACTTTAATGAAAATTTTATGCATTTCATTGGTCGTAAAAGGAAAAGTGTATGTTCTTCCCAATTAATTATCTTAAATAAAAAATGGCAGTGAAAAATCTGGCATGGTATGTTATTATGTTGGGCCTCGTTGAACCTTAAAATTTAAATGTCACACAGGGTTTACATGTGGAAGCAGATAAGTACCCCTTGAAAACACTGTGAACCGATGCTAAGCAGCAGTTAATTATGATTTTTTGAGGGTTAATACTCTGCCCTTGCACCCTCTTTATTTGATATAGAGATGTGGTTGATGTTTGACAGAATGTGATGTTGATTGAAGATTGGGTGGTTCTGACAATATTAAAATTCCAGGTTTTGAGAAGAGTGAGAATGTGAAATCTTTGTCTTATTAATGAGGGTAGTAATGCCCTTTACCGTCAGGCGTCAATCAGTCATTTTCGGCTACCGTTAGCGTCAAATTGGTTAAAATTTTACCTTAATTCGTCAAAATATCCTTATCGTGATTCGTCAGAGCAATGATGTGTATACTATACAAATCCTTGGTCAGAGGTCTCAAATAATTATCGTTACTGTTATTTTTGGAAAAAAATTTACGTGATTCGTCAAAATCAGTCGATTTATTTACCGTCTAAAAGAAAGTGTACATTTTATCTATTTTTTATCGTTATTCTGTTTACGTATATTTGTTCTGCCTAACAGAAGTTCCACTGAAAACTTTGTTATAAACAATGTCATAATATCTGTTCCTGTTGGAACAAATATTCTATACCATTCATTCCGTTAGGAACATATACTGTACTATTTATTCCAGTGGAAATAATATTCCAGAACACTTTTTCCATTTGGAACTTCTATTATGAAGGAACTTCTATTTCGTGGCAATTCGTCATGAAGGTACCCCAATTACGACACTCATTAATCTACTGGTCAAATAAATTGCAGATGTAATTATGACATGATTTTTTTCCCTTTTCTTGTATAAATTGTTATGGGACCAGCCAGAGAAATAAAAAAGAATAAAAGTAGACATGGTGCTGGGGCAGATTCATTTATAAATGAATATGAATCATACACCATGTCTGCCTACTGGGGAAAGCTTCTCAAGTTTCATCTTTCTTGTTCCACATTGTCTGTCCCCTGGCCATCATAAACTAAAAAGCATTGTCTGTCCCCTGGCCATCATAAACTAAAAAGCATTAACAGCCGTTTATGTTGCGTCCTGAGCACAATTCTGTACAACATTCGTAAGAGCATGCTTTACAACAAAAGCTGGATTGATTTTAGCAGTAAATTTGAACTCATTTTACTATAAAATTGTTAGTCAATTTACCGACAGATACAGTCTGTCCAACCTGAAACGAGTCTGACTTTTGGTCCAAAGAAGTACAGGTACAAAACGAGATTTTGTTAATATATGTATATATACTGAATACTCTATTCGTAATATATACAAATATTTAAAAAATCTCGCTTGTACCTGTTCAAAGAAGTTGACTGTTGAGCAAAGTGCGTCAACTTCGTTTTTTTTTTGTCTATAGATCCATCATGATGTTCTTCAAAAAGATTTATCATATCGTTATTATCCGGAATCGATGTCATTATATTTTGCGTCAATGTGAACACATTTCGCATATTTGACAGCTAATACGCTACACGTTTTCCGAAAAGCCATGCTTGTTTATTTAAAATCTTGGTCCTTGAAACGCTTTACTTATCCATATTGGTCGTTATTATCAAACGCTTTGAAGATCAGTAGTATTCTAAACAAATAATCGGATCCGGACAGATTGAAAAATCCGGATTTTGAATTTTTATTTTTATTTTTGTCAATAAAATGTTTAGGGTCGGCGTCGGAAACGGAGGTAGGGTCGGGAAACCGGAAACACACCATTTATTTATTTTGGCCTTATGTTCTAGATTAAACTTGCTGGATTTTGCTGAGCACTTTTTTCGTCCCTGCAGAAGATGATAAAATCAACAAATACCCGAGTTTCACTTGATATGGTCCACTCGGTCACAAAGTTTAATTCACTCATTTTTGTCACATTTCTACTGTCCCTCTATTGTCCATGTCAATCAATACAGTTCACTTCAGTTACATGTATTACGGGATCTTCTGTACTTGGCGACAATACTGGAACAAAATTTTATACCAGTATTGCATTCCAGTAGTATACGAGTATTGTGATGGCCAAGTACAGAAAATCCTTATTATCTATGGGAAATTAAATTCCAATTTTGTTTATTTTGACACCTTTCTTTCATGTCTGTAGCAGTGGAAAAAAATTTCTCTGCAATAGATAAGTGCAAAATCAAATTAGTTTTTGATATTCTGAAACATAAAAATGCATTTGAATTCTACATTGTATATATGTAGGTCATGTCATGCCATAAAAATATCTAGATGCAAAGTTTTGTCTGTGCGTGAGAAAATTCTGTGTTATAAATATGGCCATTTGTGCTAAAGGAGCTACCATTTGATTTTTATGGGGGGGGCTAGGATGAAAAATTTTGTCCTGCCTCTTTTATTTTTCCCTCTATTCGGTCCAGCCTTTTTATTTTTCACTCTATTCGGTCCTGCCTTTTTTTTTTAATTTATCCTGACTTTTTTTATTTAACTAAATTGTCATCCTGCCTTTTTTTTTGTGCAAATAATCTCATCCTGCCTTTTTTTTCAAATTTCATCCTAGCCCCCCCCCCCCCCCCCCCCCCCCCCCCCCCCATAAAAATCAAATGGTAGCTCAACATATGGATAGTGATCCGGCGGCAGCGTTAGCTAACTTCTTAAAAGCTTTATATTTTAGAAGGTGGAAGGTCTGCATGCTTCATACTTTGTATATGGATGCCTCATGTTACGAAGTTTCCGTCAGTCACATGTCCAATGTCCTTGACCTCATTTTCATGGTTCAGTGACTACTTGAAAAAAAGTTAGGATTTTTTGTAGTGTTAAATTCTCTTTTATTATAAGTAATAGGATAACTATATTTGGTATGTGCGTACTTTGCAAGGTCCTCATGCCCGTCAGGCAGTTTTCACTTGACCTCGACCTCATTTCATGGATCAGTGAACAAGGTTAAGTTTTGGTGGTCAAGTCCATATCTCAGATACTATAAGCAATAGGTCTAGTATATTCAGTGTATTGAAGGACTGTAAGGTGTACATGTCCAACTGGCAGGTGTCATCTGACCTTGACCTCATTTTCATGGTTCAGTGGTTATAGTTAAATTTTTGTGTTTTGGTCTGTTTTTCTTATACTGTATGCAATAGGTCCACTATATTTGGTGTATTGAATGATTTTAAGGTGTACATGTCTGTATGGCAGGTGTCATCTGACCTTGACCTCATTTTCATGGTTCAGTGGTCAAAGTTAAGTTTTTGAGTTTTGGTCTTTTTTTCTAATACTATATGCAATAGTTCAATTATATTTGGTGTATGGAAATATTTTATGATATATTTGTCAGTCACACAGGTTTTTTTTTACCTTGACCTCATTTTCAAGGTCCATTGCTCAGTGTTAAGTTTTTGTGTTTTGGTCTGCTTTTCTTAAACTATAAGCAATAGATCAACTATATTTGTTGTATGGAAGAATTGTTAGCTGTACATGCCTGCCTAGCATGGTTCATCTGACCTTGACCTTATTTTCATGGTTCATTGGTCAATGTTTAGTTTACTTGGTTAATGTTAAGTTTATGTGACAGTTGTAATAAAGCTTTATATTTAGGACTATCAACATAATATCAATGATTAGTAAAGAAGGCGAGACTTTTCAGCGTGTGCACTCTTGTTGATTAACCTTATGTTTTTTTTAAAAAGAAAAGTTGGCAGCCAATAGTCTATTTACCAATTCTGTAATTGACCCTGTAATACGCTTGATTCCAATTGTTATGTTGCCATCAAAGTATTTGGTTTAACATGACATTATACATTTGAAGTTACAATCAAATATATATTACATTTGTACATCATTTATGAGTTTGTTGGGCATAAAATCTACATCAGTACTTTTAGCAAAAGGATGAACATCTTAAATATGGAATAATTCCATAAATGATAAAGGAAAAAATAAATACCATTCTGTAGGTATAGGTTTCAATAAATAATAAGAAATAAATGACATCATGATCTGAAATCTGTGTACAGTACCATTCAAACGGATCAGCTCTCCCACACCCTACACCAAGGAAAATTTCGGAGTCACTCCGAGAAACTCCGATATTTCTCCCAAAATGTTGGGAGGAATTTAGGAGTAATCTCTCCCAAAATCGCTTAAATGTTAATTGTGATAGCGAGCTCACTCCCAACACCAAGGAATTAATTGCCCTAATCCTACTTTAATCTATGCCGGCACACGACTGATAGGGTAATTGGATTACCTGATGTCATAAACAATTATATTTCCGGTCTACTGTACCAGTTTAAGTGTCAAACAAGTGTATAATTTTAAATGTCTTTTTATATTGGTTAAGTTTAATTTTTGTGTTAAAAATAAGTTAAAATATTTTCGTATTTCTTGCTTGCTAATCTAAAAATACCTTTACTTAAATGGACTTGCTTGTTTAAAAAAACGGACATTACCGAAAAAGGTTTATAAAATTTTGTGGAAAATGTGGAAAAAAATGCGAAATTCTACTTCAAAGCTGAATAAATGTGTGCAGTTTAAAGAAAATTACGTGTCTCAAAGTTTTGTATACAAGTAAAAAAGAAAATATTATTCACCATTCGTTATGATTAATAAGTCTACGGCATTTTCTTTTTATGATTATCTAATTGCTTGAAACAAATAAAAGATTTAAAAGCAAAATGTTGTTGTTAATTCTTTCAATTGCATTAAAGTTTTATAAAAAACATTTACGAAAAGGGACATACTTGTGTAAAAATAAACGGAAACTACCGCTGATTAAATGTGATTAGTTTAAAGAAAATTAAGCGTCTCAAAGTTTTGTATATGCAAGTAAAAAAGAAAATATTATTCACCATTCTTTATGCTTAATAAGTCTACGGCATTTTATTTTTATGATTTGTTGGCATTACTTTAGGATAATAATACATTTCGGCTACAACAGGAATACCTCCGCAGCTGCACAATGACTCGTCTTTGCATAATATTTATTTACGCACAATGAATGTAAACTTGTGTGTTGTATTTTGGACAGCACTTGATCTTAAAAGATTTTAAAATGATTAATTTGCCGTGGGAAGACAATTCCACGATACACATCTCAGTGATCAACAGTGTGTGGTTGAACTTCGCTCACAATATTAAATGCTAAAAATAGCTGACATCAATTTTATCCACAGCACGAGATCTTTATATGGCGGGAAATAATATCACGTACCAGTAAACTCAGGTGACCTCTCTGAACGACCGTGGGAAAATTCATTCAGGTTTTTAAAGTTGCTTTGTATTAATGATTGACATTTTTGTACGTTAGTATTGAAGCTCTAGAAGGTCCTTTTACAATTGATTAACCAGAATCTAAAATATAATCCTTTTCCGAATAAACAAACACACGTCTTCTTTAACTATTTTATTTTAGTTTTATCAGTCAAAACAGGACGGGGGCCTCGGTGGCCAAGTGGTCTAAGTAGTTACTACTGTAATCACTAGCCAGTCAACACTGAGGTTGTGAGTTCGAACCCAGCTCGTGCGGGTGCACTCGACTGCAATCTTAATTGACTAGGATTGTCAGTTTTCCTATGGAAGGTCGGTGGTTTTCTTCGGGGCACTCTGGCTTCCTCCACCAATAAAAACTGGCCGCCACGAAATAGCCCAAAAGCGGTGCTTAAAAGTGGCATTAAAACACCAAAAATCAAAATCAAATCAAAACAGGACGTAGACCTGAACATTAGTTATACGTCCATGGTCAACAATATAAATTTATTGTCAATGAAAACACGATGCATGTCGTTAAGTTGGGCGTTGGTAGAGATCCTCTGTGAAAATGTGTAGATCGTTAAAATCCTGTCCACTTATTTTTTCATGTAACATCTGGGTACACGATATAATTTCATTTTAATATTTTTCGTATATATATTTGATTTTTTTCTATAGTAATTGTTGAAAAAGTTCATTTTTTTTCATTTCGCCAAGGACTTTTAACGAGCAGTGAAATACGGATTGCGCTAATCCAATTTTTAAAAAAAATAATTAAAGATCAATAACAGAGATAAACGCATGATTTTTATACGCCTGTTTACAGGACGTATTATGGTATACCGTTGACCATCTGTCCGTCCGTCTGTCTGTCCTTCCGTCCGTCGTCAACATGTCGGACATTAACTCAGAAAAGCTTTAATCAATATGCATGAAACTTTGGTGAATTGTTTATATCTATTGACGTGAGCTCCCTTTCGTTTTTTATAAATTTCAAATTTACTGTTTCCGAGTTTTGGGGTTTTATTCATTAAAAAAGGGGGGATTTTCCAGTTTTCCGACATTTACTCAAGAATGCTTTCACCAACTTGCAAGAAATTTTGGTGAATTGTTTATATCTATTGACATGAGCTTCCTTTCGATTTTTATAAATTTTAGATTTTACGTTTCCTAGTTACAGGGTTTTATTCATAAAAAAAGGGTGATTTACCAGTTTTCGGACAATAACTAAAAAATGCTTTCAGCAGTTCTCATGAAACTTTGGTGAATTGTTTATATCTGTTGATGTAAGCTCTCTTTAGAATTTTATAAATTTTAGATTTTACATTTCTGAGTTATGGGGTTTTATTTATTAATAAAGGGGGGATTTTCCAGTTTTCGGACAATAACTCAAAAATGCTTTCAGCAGTTCACATGAAACTTTGGTGAATTATTTATAGCTATTGATAAAATCTCCCTATGGATTTTCATAAATTTCCAATATGACATTAAGAAGAAATTGAACTTTATTTGTTTATAGTCTGACAACAAATTTACTAAGTATTGCGCAACAGCACAGTGTATTGCACAACTGCAAGAAATCTTTAATTGAATATAAATTCAATTCATATAACCAATTTCAAGTTCTTTGACTACATTTATTCAGAAACCTATAATATGTCAAATATTTAATTACAATCCAAATTCAGACCTGTATCAAGCTTGAATATTGTGTCCATTTCTGCCCCAACTGTTCAGGGTTGGACCTCTGCAGGCGTATCCAGCTGCGCTCAGCGAAGCAGTTTATTTTCCATATAATTAATTAAGTTGTCAATGTTGTGTTGTGCCTGGGCGGGGAAGTTCTCTCAGTGTTTTGTTTTCACGAATAAAGGGCATGCATACAAAACTTATTCCCTTTGTTCAACAGAGTTGTCACTTTACAGTTTCTTTTCAGAATTCAAATAATTCAAGTCGGTCATGTACCGAGGTAGTGAAACATAATATTTTACATGATTGTAATATACATATGCACCTGAAATTGCTTACTGAGAAAGTCATAAAAGATTCTAATTGTGGTAAAATCATCTTTGTTGAAAGGACACAAAGTATGACCTGACCAGACTATAATAGAAATACAAAACAAGTTTTTTCTTCGTATTTTTATTCGTTTGTAAGTTTTATTTCAAATGACAATGACATAAGGCAAAAGCGTATAAGAATAATTATCTTATGCTGAATGATAATGTCACATCTTTATCTGTCAAAGAAAGGAAAACATTTGTTAAAATTTTAATACCGTGTTTTTAAAGCACACAGGTGCAATCAAGATCGATTAAATGTACATAGGTAAATAATCTGGCTAATCCGATAATGTTGTCACGCGTCGTTAATTTTTAGGACATCCGATGGGCAATAAACCAATTAACAGTCACACGGTGTTGGGAGAGAATCTTTGGAGGAAATTGGGAGTATAATCCTCGGTACGCAGTGTGATTCCGAAAAACACGGAAATCGAAAAAAAACGATCTTGAATCAATTTGTTTAAATGGTACTGTATAGTGTAAGAGTATTTCTGGTGTAGTAAATGATATAAATCAATCATATTAGAGCCCCATTTGTAGGTGTTGTTTCTCTTAGGAGGGACATGCATATTCATTGACAATGTAGAGCAAGCAGAAAGAGCAAATAAATCTCTGCATAAAGTATGTAATCTTTTAAGTTTTTCAAATCTTGTAATTACATTTAATCATTATCTTATGTTAAGCTAAAACTTTTGATATCAATAATTATTTTTCATTAAAAATTGGTTAAAATGAGTCAAGGATCCTTCAGACTTTCAGTTTGTGAGTTAATCACCCCAGTTTACACATCAATAACCTCTAGAAAAAATGTGTATAATCCTATAATGAAAATACATGACTTGCCACTAATGGAAGTATCTTTGAATTAATGCAAACTTTATAGTACTTATCCTGATTTCAGGGAAGTATTCAAAGCCAGAGATAGGAATACAAAGAGGCTTGTTGCTATGAAAAAGATACTCATGGAAAATGAAAAGGAAGGGGTATGTAAGATACAATGTAGATCTATTACTAATTAAAAAAAATTGGCTGTTAAATTGTGTTGTGCTGTACTTAGATGAGCATATGTAAATCCAAAATTGATATATATATATATATATAAAGTAGTTGGCATAGCTTTATATGATACTTTTTAGTTTCAGTAAATGTATAATTTCTAATTTGAATTCTTGGTAAAATGATGGAAATTTTAGATCTTATGTTGAGTTTTGTTATTGACTGGGTACCCTGAACGAAATAAAATGATAAAACATGAATTCAATACAGGTAACCTTCTTATAATGGTTGCAATCTTTATAAAAGGTAGTTCAGTAGGAGCTATACTGTATGCTTGAAATACTTTAAAGCCTCCACAATCTTAATGAAATGAGGAAAAGTTTACATCAAATTTCATATCTCAGTTTTAATTTTAAGGTCATTATAATTAAAGTTTAAAACAGCTATGATATTTGCTGCAGTGGACCACAAGTCAAGGTCTTTCTTTTATCATATTACACCCAAAATTGCATTGACTGATTGAGTCTTCAAGTATATATGGGTTTGTATAAACTAAATTGATCATTTTTTGGGGTTTAACCTTGATTTCTTAATTACATTTAAACATGCAGGTGCACTTTATAAGGTCATCATTCAAATCAAGAAAATCTAACAAATTCCTCTTCAACTTTCTGCTGCAGCTAGTTTACATTAATGTTTATACATTTTTGTTTTATATATTTTTATTACATACAAATATTTCTACAAGTATGAACTATTGGCCTGTTTCAGATAATTGTCTACTGTCTTCCAGCTTAGCTGACAAAACTACTCACGTACAGAAGATATCACACACAAAATATTAAGACATTATATACATGTGTATATATGAATATGAAAAAAATATTTATATTAGATATGCTTACATTTAATTTATGACTTTGATTCAAGTAGAAGCATATTCAAATTTGAGTTTTATTTTTTAGTTTCCAATCACTGCTTTGAGGGAGATCAAGATATTGCAGTTACTTAAACATGACAATGTGTTAAATTTAGTAGAGATTTGTAGATCTAAAGGTAAAATTATTAGAAGTAAAATACATGTATAAGATAGTCTTAAAATTGTAAAACAAAACATTCTGTGTAATTGAAACTGATTTTTCTCTTAGAGTTGTCCAGTTGCAGTCATATATTATTTGACTTTCATAGCCTCAAAGGCTAAACAATGGTTTTTATTCATTTGAATTAGCAATATTAAATATATAAAGTGAAATTTATTCTCATTATCCAATTTTTAGTGGAAGTATTTATAATAGACAAAAATTTTAAGTTGTACAACTTCTTTCTTTTCAGCAACACCATACAACAGATATAAAAGCACATTCTATATGATCTCAGACTTTTGTGAACATGATCTGGCAGGATTACTCTCAAATACAAATGTCAAATTTAATTTAGGTGAAATAAAAAAAATTGTTCAACAGTTGCTGAATGGACTTTATTTCTTGCACAGTAATAAAATTCTGCATCGAGACATGAAAGCTGCCAATATTCTGATAACCAAAAATGGTGTATTGAAGTTAGCTGACTTTGGACTTGCTCGATCTTTTAGTTTAAGTAATAAAGGCAACCCAAACAGATATACTAATCGTGTTGTCACATTATGGTATAGACCACCAGAACTATTATTGGGTGAACGGGACTATGGTCCAGGAATTGATATGTGGGGAGTTGGATGCATCATGGCAGAAATGTGGACGCGTACTCCAATTATGCAAGGCCGAACAGAGCAGCATCAGTTGCAGTTAATCAGTCAACTTTGTGGATCAATCACAAAGGAGGTGTGGCCAAACGTAGAAAAACTCCCTCTGTGGGGAAAAATTGATCTGATATCTGGTCAGAGGAGGAAAGTAAAAGACAGATTGAATTATTATGTTAAAGATCAGTATGCTTTGGAGATGCTTGACAGACTGTTGACGATAGATCCAACAAAAAGAATAGATGCTGATACTGCACTGAACCATGACTTTTTCTGGACTGATCCAATGCCAATTGATTTGAGCACTACTTTATCAAAACACACAACTTCAATGTTTGAATATTTAGCACCAAGAAGACCTGGTACCCGTCAGCCTGCTCCAAATGCACCTGGTAAACCAGCACACAATCCAGACCAACATTTTGAACGTGTTTTCTGAACTTTATTATATGTACTATGTTAGGGTATATTATATGTTCATGTTATTTACCTTTTTTTTAAATTATGTTGTAAAAACTGTTTACACATAGTCATTTTAATCATTTCTACAAAAGCAAAGTTAAAAACTTCTTCATGTTACAATGTATCTACGAAACAAGCATATGTCTTGCATGTACTAGATATTCTATTTAGTGCATTTCATTTTCTCAATTTTTTCATTCTCTGTTTAACAGTGGTGATGTTAGATTTATAATTCTTGATAATTCCTCTATCTTCATTTTGTAATGAGATGTGACATACCTCTCATGATATTCTAAATATTAACAAGTTATTGTGTCTAAAATGGAAAGGCCAATGAAGTACCAATTTTTTAAGCTGGATATTGATACATTTTTTGCATTTTATTTATACGAAAAATCTTCCTCACAGTCATGCAATATGTTTGTTGTACATTGTAGCTCTAAAATTTAGTTATCAAAAGGGACAAAAAGCAAACATTAAGATGTTGAATTAAGCTTGATTTAAAAATATTTCAATGCACCAAGAGTAATTTAAAATTATCTCAAAATTCACAATTTTATCTTAAAATTTACACTACATGAAAAATTGCTTTTTTCCACATTATTCAATGGTAGGTTGCCTGACATCAGTAGTTTTTATTGCTTTGAATGGATTCACGATTCAGTAAGCAAAAACTGTATTATGACTTTAATGCAGACTTTGTTGTCCATTTTGAAATATTAGATTTTGTTTTTTCAATAGTCTTTTATAGCTTACCAACAGTATAGATTTTCTGATGATTTTAAGGCTGTAAAATGATTTGTAGTTTTTTACATACCTCTTTTATTTCTATAGTTGTCAATGTGTTGTCTCAATCAAAACCAGTGTTACACAGTGCTCGAAGGTAAATGATACATACAAAAAAAAAGAAATAAAACCGATAATTATTTACATTAATATCTTGTTAAGATTTTAAGTTGTATACCGTATAAATGTGCATATGGAGATTTGAAAATTTTACATTAATTATAAACTTAATCTGCAAATATTTACATATAATACTTTTGCCTTGTTAACTTGCTTACAAAGCAAATAAACCTCCATGATTTTATGCAATTTTACAAATTTTTTTTATTTAATGGAAACTTTTATCTTTTGTTGTCTTCTTAATCTATTGGTCTATATCAGAATTGTGATTATCAGATCTTTTTAAGATACCTAAATACTAAATGTTTCTAGAGTTGATAGATTTTACAATAATGGACATGTTTTGTACACTATTTAAACCTTTATCAAGAAGAATTACCATTTTTGTTATGTGTTTGATCAGTTTTACATGAACATTTTATGTATATTTATATATTACAAATATTACATTAAAAATAATTTGCCTTTAATTTCTTTTTAATGTTGTTTGCTTTTTTCTGTAAGGTTGGGAATTCTTGTGATGAAATATTATCGTTCTTTGGACAGAAATTTTCATTCTTTCCAGTATGCTATTGATTATAAGTTCTGCAGAAAATGTTTTAATGAATAATAGCATAATAAGGAAAATATAAACCAAAATATCATATTAATTGAAAAATAATGCTTTATAAATTTTGTGCGTCTGAAGCATTTTTCTGGATTTACCTTCTCTAGGAATGCTCAATCCCTAAACCTGTAAAGTGAGGAGCTATATGAGGAAAATAGACCTATAACGTATAGCCACATCCATCTAAGGTCAACTTTGCCTTTGGGAGTCATAATAATTTCTTAATTTATAAAATGATAAAGGCAAATTGAGGAAAGGTATGTTATAAATCATGTCAGTACAGAGGCACTGACTACTGAGCTGATGATACCCTCAGGGACTACCAATCCACCAGCAATGGTATAAATCTATTGCCAAACACTCATTTTTGTCGAGCCTTCGACTTTAGTCGAAAAAGCGAGACATAGCGATCCTACATTCCGTCGGCGTCGTCGTCGTCGTCGGCGGCGTCCACAAATATTCACTCTGTGGTTAAAGTTTTTGAAATTTTAATAACTTTCTTAAACTATCCTGGATTTCTACCAAACTTGGACAGAAGCTTGTTTATGATCACAAGATAGTATCCAGAAGTAAATTTTGTAAAAATAAAATTCCATTTTTTCCGTATTTTACTTATAAATGGACTTAGTTTTTCTGCCAGGAAATATTACATTCACTCTGTGGTTAAAGTTTTTAAAATTTTAATAACTTTCTTAAACTATCCTGGGTTTGTACCAAACTTGGACAGAAGCTTGTTTATGATCATAAGATAGTATCCAGAAGTAAATTTTGTAAAAAAATAAATCCATTTTTTCCTTATTTTACTTTTAAATGGACTTAGATTTTCTGCCAGGAAACAACACATTCACTCTGTGGTTAAAGTTTTTAAAATTTTAATAACTTTCTTATACTATTTTGGATTTGTACCAAACTTGGACAGAAGCTTGTTTATGATCAAAAGCTAGAATCTAGAAGGAAATTTTGTAAAAAAATAAATCCATTTTTTCCGTATTTTACTTTTAAATGGACTTAGATTTTCTGCCAAGAAACAACACATTCACTCTGTGGTTAATGTTTTTAAAATTTTAATAACTTTCTTATACTATTTTGGATTTGTACCAAACTTGGACAGAAGCTTGTTTATGATCAAAAGCTAGTATCTAGAAGGAAATTTAGTTTTCTCCAAGTTAACATTACATTCAGTTTGCAGTTAAAGTTTTTAAACATTTATTAGATTCATAAACTATCCTTGATTTTTACCAAACTTGGACAGAAGCTTCTTACAATCAAAAGATAGTATCAAGTGGAATATTTTTATTGATTTACTTCCTCATTTTTGTTGAGCCTGCAATTAACAGAAAAAGTAGGCGAGACACTGGGTTCCGCGGAACCCTTACGAATTTTTCTTCTCAACATTAAAAAACATTTTATAGGAGTTTTGTAAGTAAGAAGATTATGATATTACAATCAAAACAAATTCCTTACTTTCCATACATTATTTATTTTTTACTACATTTAACAGGATTCCCTGTTTATGTATGAAGCTAGACCAGAAAAAAACTTCAAAATGGACAGATATGCAACAGACAGCACATATTTAACTTATCTCAGAAGAATATTAAAGCAATGTCAATGATACATGCATATTTAAATCAAATAAATCAGAAAGACCATACATATTGCAAAATAATTGAGATTAACTTCATGAAGAGAACTATTAATAGTTGTTTTATAAAAATATTGTTTTTGCTGATATATTTACTTTTAACGAAAACCTAAATTCTAAACCTGAGCAAGCATTAATAGTGTAAGATTTTTGGATACTGTATTATGTTTAAAACTACCATATAATAATTCTAAGGATTTAAATCCTTGGTAGTTCAATATGAAAATTGAACTTAGAATTCTCTTAGTACATGATTTTTGCCAGATTCTTTAAATTTATGTGCAACAACAATTAATTCAAAAAATGAGTGGTTTATGGAAAACAAAATGTAGACTTCTATCTCAATCATACTTTTCATGTATACATCGATGATGCCACTACATGTATTTATTGTCACTTTGACCTGAGGTCATAATGATTTATAGGCATTTGCTTTGAAAAAGCACCTGGAATATATCTACTTATGGCACAGTTTAAACTTTCTTGAACTGTAAGTTAACAACGAAGGATACTTATGCTTGACAAATGATTAAATCACTATTAAGGATGAGGGTCACAATGATCGGACTCCTATACATTATTGTGCATAGCTTTCCAAGATCATGCACACCAAAGGAACAATCTGATGTATTGTGTTCATCATTGGTGGTTTGTCATCAGTTGGTAAACAGCTCATATTTCCATTTACTCCTAAAACCCTCTGGCCCATTAGAACAAAACTTTGGTGGGAATGACCCTGTAAGTAAAATTATATTCATTTAATGTCCATCATTAAAGATGACTGTCAAAATCTCTTCAGCTAAGACTATTTTCATTGTTCTTATACTCTTGGATAAGTATAACCTTGTTTTAATAAATCATCATATATTTTTTATCAGAGCCTCTGAACTGACGAAGACAACTTTTGTCAAGTCTTAAACTAAATGGACTCAAAATGTGAACTTCAAAGTAAAAGTCCCTAATGGCACTAGAGACATGTCTCTGCTGGTACTATATACACTTACAGGGTGAATTTAGGCACCAGTAGTTTACTGATATTTAAATCACATTAGTTTAAAACGATACAAATCAAGGTAACAAAAAAACCTGGTGAATCCATGAACTCCAAAAGAATCGAGACCGGGTGTGTCTACAAGGTAGGCGTCTCCTGCTACTAATGCATCTGATTCAGTCGCCATGCGAATTCACACTCAGTGAGATAATCTGGAATAGGACACATTTGTTAAAATCACAGACCAGATGACTATTCTGGAATCAAAAGAAATAAAACCAACAAAAGTCGCTAGTGAGTTGAGACACAGACATATCGTATTGGTCAACCGGTTCGTCAAAACTTATGAAGTGTTAGGTTTCAGTCGATTTCCTCATAAATTGTTTGAGTAGTTTTGTGTAAGGAGCACACCCCCTGTTAATGAAGTCTTTTAAGTGAACATGCACGAGGTTATATTAATTGAGATAGGTAAATGCTATAAGATGGAGCAGAGGGTATGTGACTTTTGAGAAATGAGAATTTGAAATTTGGAAAGCTTTAACATCACGTCTGTCAAGATATGATGCAGACCTTTTAGCTTCGGTAATATCTTTAGTCTCAAGTTGAATGTGTTATATGAGATGCAATCACTCACGGAAATGTTGGTTCTTGAGTGACAGTAAAAAGGAGTTGCCATACAGTCGGACGAAAAGTAAGTGTAAGTGTAAATTTATTGAATATTACAGAAATACATAAAAAAAGTCATTTCGGGAATGGAACAAGGCAAACAGAAATAGAAGAATGGTTACGAGAATGTTGGGTGGTCAAATAATCACTCATTTTGATTGAAGCCGTAGACATTTTATTTCTGTAACATTGTACACGTAATCATAATTTTAAGGTAGTTTAGTAGATTTCTGAGATGTATAGTATCTTAATTTTATATTTGGTAAAAAAAGCACAGGTGCAAAGAGGAGACGAATCACAATACTCAATAAAGATATTATTTTGTTTCTACTTATCTGCCATCTCACTAGTGTTTTGTTCAATATTTGGATACAGTGCAATAGTGCTTGAAATTGATCACGTCATCAGTAGGTAAACATTGGTACTGTTAATGTAATAACAAGGTTAATTTTACAATAAAAGGTTTATGGCACATATATTGGGAATATTTTCACTAGTAGAAAATTAATCATTATATATCCCAGGGGCGTAGATAGCCTTAGACAGATTGGGTACAACTGTTTGGAACTTTTGGTTTTCAGTGCTCATCAACTTCGTTATTGATTTGGCTGTCCAACTTTTTATTTGTTCTAGCAACCCTAATGGCTATTATTAGACAAAACGCGCGTGTTCAAACAAAATTATAAGCTTCTTATCTTTGATGAGTGCAAAGGGTGATGGTAATGCAACTACAAAAAAAAAAAAACTGGAACATATCCATGTTCAAATGTGTGACTTTTAACATCGTCACGATAGCGTCAATCAAAGCGTCGAACCTCAACTTAACCATGATGAATTCTTCAGCAAATTCCGAGTAAAATGAAACACATTATCGAATAAATCATGACCGAAAACATAGGCATTGGAAAATTGTACCAAATGGGAGATTTATAGTCTATGTGCTCCATGTACACTGCTGCTACAAAAAAAAAATATAACAAAAATACCAAACTCCAAGGTAATTTAAAAAGGGGGGGGGGGGGGTCCATAAAAACTGACAAAATCAAACGCTATCAATCAACGGAAGAAGTGAAAAACAACTGCCATATTCCTGACTTGGTACAGGCATTTTCCGAAGAAGATGGTGGGTTAAATCTAGCTTTATTAACACGGCAGAAATGGATGCAATAAACACAGTCATAATGCTTAAATTATTTAGTGAAATGCCATCTGTAACAAAGGAACGTAAGAATAAAAGACAGCTAGCTTTTAATATTTTATAAAAGAGAGGCGGAAAATTCATAAGTCGATGACAAAATGACGGGGCAAAAAACAAAAAACGAACAAAGAACATACAACAGTATCCAAAACACAACATATAAAACTATTTGTTATATTAATTGTTTAGGCAACACGTAAAAGCACATTGGTTTCTTCCCTGTCCGTGAACTTTTTTTCTAGTTTCTTATTTAAGTTGACAAGCTTCGGACGCATAAAATTTATTAAGTGTTGTTTTCATATTTTTTATGAACAATATTTATAAAAATATCTCTTTAATGTAACAGGTAGGTAAATGGGTGAT